CAAGAAAAATTTACATCAAAAGCAAAGCCAGTTTTCAAGCAGCAGAAATAATGAAAAATATTTCTTTTGATTTTTCTTGAGAGCTGGATTGTGTAGTTTGGATACTTTGAATCTGACCGAAATCCCAAATGAGTGGCAATAGTGGCATCGAATCTAAATAAGGTAAGGAAATAGCGTACATCAAAATGAACACCACGATTACATATTTTCGTGTACGTTTTTACACATTCCACAGAAAAATTACTCATTCGGGAAAATTTTTCGAGATTTTGACAGAGCTTAAAAAGTAAGGAAAGTTTTTCTTTGTTTGAGACATGCTGTGTTTTCTAAGTGTAGGCGTCATACACGGTGGGTCTGTCAACCGAGTCGATTTGGATGTGTTAGTGATAATAAATATGTGCTAGTTACACCGGCATGACTCTGAATGACTCAACTGTGTGTAGTCGAAAGGCGTATCAACACCTACACAGATGATTCGAGAGTCAGACGCACGCACCGTCTATGGCGCCTATAAACTTTAGAATGAAAAGTTGCCTAATTCATTTTTAAAAATTTAACAGGAGAGGAAATATATTTGTTACAGCCATTTTCTTCAAGTATTTTGTAAGACATTGAAAACAACATTTTGTGCAGTTAGAGCAAATCGAAACTCGTATTCGAATCAGAGGTCGCGGAAGTTATTTAAAAGATTTTTTATTACTTTGACGTTATTGAATTTCCTGCGTCTCTTTTGGACTTAGCAAATTTGCTTTTATTTGAATATTAATAGGAAGAAATATCGCTTAAGTACCTTAATACTTTAGGAAATGATGTTTTTTTTTTAATTTCTCTTGCTTGCTATATTTAAATATGAGTTCTCATAAAAAGTGGATTTAGCAACTTTTCTCTCTAAGCTAGCGATATGAACATATCGTTTCTTAATATAGAAAGGCCCTACTTATATAACATTTTTCGTTTCTTTATAAAACAGTTATACAACTTTATAAAAACTAAAGTTATTTAACTGCAATTTTCTTAAAAGCACAGTTTTTGTTAAACAATGAGCTATACTTTTACAAAAAAATAAAAAATCAAATTAATTAAAAAAATAATCCAAACCGGCTGACCGTATAATTTTGTCACGGGGTGTACATACGTATGTACATATATGTAGAAACCTTTACCATCAGAGATCGCTTCATTCGGTGTTATTGAATACGTTTCAGTGGCTCGTTTGTGTGCATTTCTCATTGTGCGCTTAGTCATTGAGCAGTCAATTGTGCTGCACAAAGCGCTCGAGAGCTATGTATGTATGTACATATACATATGTACAGTAGCTTTTGGAAGCTGCTGACTAACAGGCATTCTATATTTGGTTGTTATTAGTTCCTCATGCCGACTTTGTTTTGGCTCCCTGTCTAACAAATTCGCCCACATGTACATATGTACGTATGCAGCTTTGTGTTGTCTCATGGCTATGTCGCATACTATATCAGTTTCGCCCCTGCCTTTGGATATGTACTTCATGGCGCAATTTCATTTGTTCTTTTTTAGCGCTTTTAATTTCTACTATGCCTTTACGTTTATGTAAATGTATGTATGTATGTTTTGCCACTTTGAACTTCTCAATTAAGCAATTTG